CATGTATATATATATATATATATATATATATATATATATATATATATATGCATGTGTGTATATATATATATATGCATGTGTGTGTATATATATATATGCATGTGTGTGTGTGTATATATATATATGCATGTTTGTGTATATATATATATGCATGTGTGTGTGTATATATATGCGTGTGTGTGTGTATATATATGCATGTGTGTGTATATATATATGCGTGTGTGTGTGTATATATATTTGCATGTGTGTGTGTATATTCATATGCATGTGTGTGTATATATATGCATGTATATATATATATATATATATATATATATATATATATAATCAAAAGAGTAAAGCTCTTGATAATATATTTCAATTGGACACCCTTGATAGACAGCCTAATTCTACAAACAGTAGCCGCCTACGCTAAAACGCAATGCTCTTCGGTAACATGAATACGGGCACCGTGGCTGGCCGGCGTTTGTTTACATTCGTAAAAACAATACGCTAGAATTAGCATTTTCTCTCTGCCGAGTGCTGATGGATTAGGGGTAGAAACTCATACTGACACCAAATCGGTCGAGTTTCGATGCTGGCTTGAGGAAATTGCGAAAGACTCACACACACACACACTCTCATATATATATATAAAGTTCATGTTTTCTCTTTTTGCTTCATCATTTACTCGCAAGGAATGAGTTAAAATGATGCAGTAAGATTGAAGAAAGACAACAACAAGGAGAACAATAAAAGAACAGATTTCAAAGGAATAAAAACGACTGAAATTACAATTCAATTTTGGAAAATCCTAGTTGAGAGGAAAGTAAGAAGCGAGAACTGATTTTCACGAATGAAAAGAGCGGAAGAACAAGCCGGTAGAATTAAAGTTATAGTTGCCATTAGCAATTTAAGCAGTGAAATTATGAGACCTAACTGCCAATCTAGTACTGCGCTTTAATTCGTGAAGTCGAGGTACAAAAGATGAAAACCCAAGAAAACAATTTCCATGAAAATATTTATAAAAAAGCACAGAAAAGTTACTTTAACTTGCGGGAAGGGAACTGTTGTCAAAATGCCAGGTTAGGACCGATAATATTGCAGATTATTTGGATTTTGTCAAAAAAAAAAAAACTATAGATATGCGAAAGAAGCTCCAAACCAGAAACACTATTGAATGCCCGGATGAATGGTAGACATAAATGCATAAGATTTTATCGAGAAAAAATTGCATCCCAAGACATGCAGCAACGTAGCAAATGATTCGTACCTCTTTATGTTAGTTGAAACTGTGCCGTCCTGAGCAAGACGATAAACTACATCCGCGTCCGAGGTAAGACTATAAACTACATCCAACAGCAAGGCCTTTGATTAGGAGGTTTTGAGGAGCGTGGAACCACCTCTTAATTGCTGGTGTTCCTGACCCGGGGTGGTAGCACCTCTCAGGGTGCCAGCTATGGGAAAATAGTTAATCCACAAACTGCGATCAAAACACTATGAAAGTGTAAAAATAGGTTTTAATACCAGCAATACATTTTGTAAAAGGTTAATAACAGCAATGAATGTTTGAAGAAAAAAATTATTACCAGCAATACATTTTTCAAAAAAAAAAAAGAAGAAAGTATTACCAGCAATAAAAATATTGTCGTCCTTAAATAACCCATTGAGGTTGATATGCTGTAAAACTAACCAAACCAAACCAAACCAAACCAAACCAAACCAAACCTAGAAACTGAGACCATGAAAGCTCTATGAATTTCTTACATTGAGGTTAGCATTAGCCATGATGATGGCAGACATAAAAGGTTCCTTAAAATGATTATTGGAGAGCAGTTTCGTTTCGGAAGCGTCAACGTTTTAAAGTCAATCCTTGTCCCAATTAACAATAGATTGAAGGTCATTTTAGAGATCAGTTGCCATTTTGATTTTATTGAATCTATCACAAATTTTTGGTCAATTCCTTTCGACCGTCGCTGTCATTATAAGTATCACGTGTTATCTGAGTTGCAGACAAGATTCTGTTAGCTACATCCTGGCACTGTTACAAAGTGGTGACGTGAATCATTCCAAAGTGAGATCCGAAATTTTCATTCTGATATCCACCATCTTATTCGAAAATTAGAAAATTGCAATAAAATATTAAACATTCCGATCATGTCGATTCAATTTGATAAAACTTCTTTTGATGAATATTACACCAGACACACACACACACACATATATATATATATATATATATATATATGAGAAAAATATAATTTTATGCCATAATTGATATTATTGTACATGGACTGAATATTTTGTTCAAACATGAAAGAGAGTGCCGTCGTTCGGTGCTCACCTGAATTTACACTTTTATTTTATTCACACACACACACACACACACACACACACACACACACACATATATATATATATTTCGATGTCCACATACAAGCCTGTTTTGCTGTATCACAGCTCATCAGTGCGATGGACTTCCGATTGCTTCAATCTGGAATAGAAACACGGCGGATTTGGCATCAGCCAGAGACTCTATCCCTAAGCTATCGGCGCACGGCAGAGAAATGAAAGCTTTTAACGTATTATATATACGATATTTATAAACGCCAAATCAGCAGCCAAAGCGCTCAATTCATAACTGAAAAGAGATGCGTTATAAGCAGGAGCAGCCACTGTCTTTAAAATTACCTTTCCCCATAGTGATCAATCGACGAACTTTAAATCTTCATATATATATATATATATATATATATATATATATATATATTAATTATAATTATCTCAAATCCTTCTAATTTCTATCACTCTGGATGGAGAGGCTTGGGGATATTAGTTTGTGGCTCGTGGAGGCACAGTCCTATGGGTGAAATAGAAACTCGGATGAGTTCCACCACGGAATATGTTGGAACAGTTGGTATGACGTTTGTCTGAATTCAATTCCCGCTAGTAGACGCGCACTGCTGATGAGTCCCAAATATAGGACGAAACGGCCGTCCAGTGCTTTCTGCATTCTGTTGAGGTTTCTTCTAGACTCGATGAATTAGTTAATTATATATATATTGTTATCACAGTTATATATATATAACTGGCTTTTATATATATATATATATATATATATATATATATATATATATATATATATAGCCAGTAATTAAATCAGTCAAGAAAAGGAATTTAATTTATCAGGGATTAATGCACACGATTTACATTATTCGGACTATCGTCTTCATCTTTCTTGCCATATTTATTGCATTTCGTCCGTTGTACGCTCCGGCCTTCTCAGGTGAACTGAACCCTTTCTTTCACTCACTGGGGTAGACTGTTCCACGTGCCATGTTTAATGGATGTCTGTTATCTCTTGTTAATTCCCCATTGCCTTAACCGGGTATTGAACTCACACTCTTTGGGCCCTGTCACTGGATCTAACCAACGACTTTATCTACTGTGTCATGTGTCCTTGAGGACATCTGTGTATGAATTTCTGGGTATTACAAACCTAATGTTTTTAGCCTCCATTTTTTAACAGTGCTCATATTGCTATTTTTGCTGTTATCATTGCATGTTTTTCCAGAGCTCATATTGCATATGGCGACAAAGATGAGGACAATAGTCCGAATAATGTAAATAGTGTACATAATACCTCATCTCAGAAATGTAGACAGATACAGGATTAATGCAAACATTAATTTTTTCACTCAGCTAATTGATATAATATTCAGCAACTCAAGGGTTTCAAAAGGGTTCAATTCATCTCCAGAATGAATCCATCCGAACGCTTTTGGTAATTGTTCAGTACCCTCATCTGCTGGTTTCAGTCAATTGCAGAATCCTCCTCACGAAATGTCTTCTTAAATTTTAGTCAGCCTGATGAATATTTATGACTGTTTCTTAAAATTAAAATTTTGTAAAGCTAGCAAAATTTTTACTTTTCTTTGTAAATACTTGTTGAAAAAAAAATGTCCTTAAATTTGTTATGATTAAATTCATCAAAGGACGAAACGTCTTGGTAACGAAAATTTTTCCTTTAGTCTTTGTTCATAGGGTATTATTTTACTGATATGTTTTTCGTTATATCTAAAAATTTTTCACATACGCACACACACACACACACACACACACACAGATATATATATATATATATATATATAGGGACGCTACAAATGTAATGTCACCTATTTATTTCAACGGAAAATATAACAACTACAAGGAACCCAAAACATTTTCTTTAAAAGCGAGACACTATTTTCCCATGTAGTCACCATTTGGGTATATAATTTTTCCCAGAGGTAAACAATAGCTTTTCATTTCGTGGCCTGATGGGTGTGCAAGGCCGACCCATTATCGTAGCCACTACTGAAACGCATTACCCACCGCCTAACTAGAGTTCACATCCGCTGTTTAGAAGCATTCAACAAGCGTCGGGGAAAGTCAGTGTGTGCAACTTTTTCCACATGGAAGAATTCAACGACACACCTTCCGCTTTTGTACACGACTTTCATGTCAGACGCCATTTTGTCCAGCCCACAGATCAGCTGCTACCTGAAATAAAGTGAAAAAAAAAAAATTATGTTTTTAGTGGCAATAAAGTTCAACCTCTAGTGTTATACAACCAATACCATTCAACCCTGAAAGCGTGGGAAAATCAAATAGCACAGAAGGCATTACTTTTGGAGGCACCATCTGTACATGCATGTGCGGTCGCTTGCGCACGTGTGTTTGTGTCTGTGCGTGCAAATCTATATTTTTTGCCTATATATATATATATATATATATATATATATATATATATATATATATATAGAGAGAGAGAGAGAGAGAGAGATGAGCGATGAAGAAATGTGATTCTGTTTGCCATTCTGTGACTTGTATCTGTAGCTACTGTCGTTCAATAAACAGCTGATTCGCGCTAATGCAAGGCAGAATAGTGATGTCATTGAATCTACTTGGATGATCCCGCCGTTGATGTTGATTGGTCTCGATGTTAATGACCTGTTTCTATAATTTAGATTTAGGTTTTCATGTTCACTGTTATGAATTTGACCATTGTGAGCATAATCTGTATTATTATTATTATTATTATTATTATTATTATTATTATTTCCTTTAATTTCTAGTGTGTACACATTTCTTTCCAGGTCCCGCCCAGAGATCTAAGATCAGAAATGGCATCATGACATTTTTCACTGACCAATGAAAAAAAGACAAAAAAGAAAAAAAAAAACAATACAAAAAAAAACAAAAACCAAAAACAAGCATATTTTAAATAGATAAATCCCTTCGTAATTTTCTGCATTTTTTAAGGCATGGTCATCCAGGAATCCCTTCAATGAGTCTAATGGAATCTTTTCCAAACAATCCGAGGGCTCCAACTACAACAGGGATTGTTGATGTTTCCATGTGCCACATTTTTAAGATTTCGATTTCAAGGTCCTTGTATTTTGATAGCTGTTTGAAGATCTTCAAAGATACATTGCAGTCTGCAGGGACTGTCATATCAATAATAAGGCAATTTTTTTTTGTTTGTGGTCTCTAATAACAATGTCTGGGTGGTTAGCTTTGTTTTTTCTGTCTGTGTGTATTGGGAAATCCCATAAAATTGTTACAGATACTATCTCCATAATCGAGTCTGGGTGGTGTTCATACCAATTTCTTACAGTTTCCTTTCCGTAGAAGTTGCAGATTTTCCAGTGCAGATATTGGCCATCTCTGTCATGCTGAGTTTTATATTCCGTGTGTACCAATACCGTGTAACCTGATATAAGATGATTAATTGTTTCTGGATATTTATCACAGAATCTGCATTTTGGGCTAACACAATATTTTAATATGTGTGCTTGATAATTTCTAGTTAACAAGCATTGGTCCTGTGCACAAAGGATAAAATCTTTGGCTTCAGCTTTTAACCCTATACTACGTAGCCACTGAGGGGTACGGGGTTTGTTTGGATCAGCTTTTTGGGACGGGCAAAGTATTAACCGTGAAGCGTTTTAACTTGCCATCGTTTCTGTATTTGGTCGGTTGCATTTGCTTTTGTTTTCTTTTTTTTAAGTATTTTGCAGCTTCAGTTGGTGTAATGGGCTTTACTTGTATTTCTGCACCCATTTGAAATTCCATTTTGAATTTGTTGGCTTCCTTTATTACGGAATAAAGTCGCTCAATTCTTTCATGTTCTTTGACACATATCATCATCCAGTCTTCTGTAGTTTCCAGGTATCTTTGAAGGCCAATTGATATTATTATTATTATTATTGTATAACATTTGAGTATGTTCAAGAAACATTGCTGCAGAAGGTGTCAGAATGTTTTTTCGATCGTGTTGTGGGCATGTAATCATGGAAGTGGTCTTTTCGTACGGACTTTATGAATGCTGGTGATACGAAAATGTGCATCTAGTGTATGTTTACCGATGGAAGTATATTAATTAATATTCCATCAAGATACTTCTTTGTAATAACCTATGTTTGCTTTTTATTAGGGTGGCATTTTTAAAATTAAAATTATCAATAAATACTATATAATCAAGACTCAGTACTTAATATGATGCAAAATCTCATTTATATTTTATACAAGCATTTTATATATGACAACACACACGCGCGCACACTCACACAAACACACACACATATTTATATATATACCTGATGTGGGGCCAAAGTCGGGACCACAGAAGGAAAATACGGAACACGGATTAGAGGTAAGAAAGATATATTAACAACAGGTTACAGAGATAGTGTAAGCGGAGCTTACTATATGTTAGTGTCCAATACTGGTAGTCGTACGCGGCTCTTACTGTCTCTCTGTGTCTCTTTGTATAGAGTGTTGTGTCGCATACTTAATATAAACCTGAAAGAGTCTATTGTGTAGGTAGTTTCCGGTCTCACAATAATACCAGAGTAAGGATCAAGTAGAATATCAATATAAATTTAACATGTTTCGCTTTTATTTAAGCTTCATCAAAATTTTGGTGATTTGAGTTGTGGAAGATGATAATGTTCCGCTACATTTGTGTTCTATGTTATTTCTATGTAATTGGTCAGGTAGATATCATGCCTTTATGTCTTGCGGTGTTAGTGGGGGTTTGTATGAGGGGGATGCATTCTTGCGTACGGTCTGGATCCTAATAGACATTTTGGAGCCGAGTTGTGTCTGTGCGTTCAAAACGATAGTAAGAGAAAAATGCGAAGGGTGTGTCTGTATGTGTGTGAAACAAATTTTTAATTGGTCTTGCGGTAGTTTTTTTCCCTGCCTATCTATCTATCTATCTATCTATCTATCTATCTATCTAATAATTTTAATCTCGTACGCCATTGCTAGTGAGATCGATGTTTCAAATTAATTGCCTTGTGCCAAACCGAGTTATGCGAAATGATAATATGTTCATGTCTCTCTCTATAATACGCGGCCCTCTTTCTGTCCTTTATTTTCGTTCGCTACTATTTCATTATATTCTCCCTTCTTTTCACCTTCCATCAACAATTTATTCGACAATTTGATGTGTGATGTTTTGACATCGTAATGCCAATTTAAATCCGTTCCGCACAGCTTCTATGTTTATCAATGGCCGCCAATCGACCATTTCGAAAGAAACAAAAAAGAAATGGCGGTTCCCAAATAAAACATCTGTGCGTCACGCAAGTTTACACAATTAAGATGCTTCCTATTTTTTTTCATTCATTTTATTTTATATTTTTATCCGTTTTAAGATTTTTTTTTCATTTGCTTCTGTCATGTTTCCTTCATTTTCAACTTCTTTACATGTAAATTTATTTCAGTCAGTTCGAAGGGGAAAAGCGAAGATATTACAGAAAAAATACATAAAACCTAAAAGAAATTTCTTCAATTTTAAAAAATGAGGAAGTTAGACGCATCCGCAAAATAATAGGTTATTAAGTTTCTGGCCTATATAAAAATGTAAAAAATGAAAAGAAAGAAGATTTATTGTCTATCTTAACTTCCCATGAAATTGTTACCGAGATCTATCTATCTATCTATCTATCTATCTATCTCATTCTGTTCTTATCTATCTATCTATCTATCTATCTATCTATCTATCTATCTATCTCATTCTGTTCTTATCTATCTATCTATCTATCTATCTATCTATCTCATTCTGTTCTTATCTATCTATCTATTAATCTCATTCTGTTCTTATCTATCTATCTATCTATCTATCTATCTATCTATCGCAGCCAGTTCAAAGTTATTTTTATGTAGTCTGTTCATATCTATTTCAAATTTTTATTTTCTGTATACATATTCACAGTTGATTTGTTTGTAGGTCTTATTGAGAGCTGCTTTTTTAGAGCTCTCATGAAATAAAAAAATTATTACCTGGAATTTTAAGTGTTTGATATTCTTTAATATAAATTAATTTTGCTCTGTCTTTTGACATACAGCTCTCCCTGGATCTATATCCTCCTGGAAATTCCATACGAATTACCATATTGTATCATTACTATATATATATATATATATATATATATATATATATATATATATATGGAGATAGAGAGAGAGAGAGAGAGAGAGAGAGATAGATAGATAAACCGATGTTTAAAATTTCCTTAGAAACCGTTAAAAACCTGGTGTTTTTTCTTTTTTCATGAAAACAATTGATCTTCATTTACGGGAATAAATAGTAAACAATTTTTGTCAGTTGACCCAAGCGGCGACGTTAGCACTCGCAATTTGCGCTACCAATATATATATATATATATATATATATATATATATATATATATATATATATATATATATACGCATACACTTACGCACATATTATTATTATTATTATTATTATTATTTTATTATTATTATTGTCTAACTTGATTATTGATGTAACTACTCATTATTTACAAAATTTACATTGTTCAGGATGTTGTTATCGTCTTTATTGTTATATTCACAACGTTTCGGCTGTTGTACGCTCCAGCCTTCTTCAGGTGATATGCCTTGGAATTTCGAACCAAAATATGTGTCCTTGTGAATAAAAATGGCGCAATTAATAAAAGCTTTGGTTGATATAATCCAAGGACTTTACTCAAAGAGTTGTGAGTTCAATACCCGGCTACAGCAGAGGTGGACACAATGTTGGAGAGTTGAGCTACTAAAGGGAATTAATCGAAACAGAAATATCCAGAAAAGGCTTGGCACGTGGAACAAGAACTATGTACCTTGTGGGCTAAATAAAGTGTTAGGTTCTATATTCCAACCTATATCACCTGAAGAATGCCGGAGCGTACAACGGCTGACACGTCGTTAATATGACAATAAAGATGAGGACAACAGTTCGAACAATGTAAATAGTGTAAATAGGTACAATACCTCGTCTCAGAAATATAGACAGATAAATAGTCATTGTTGCTACTGTAATTTATTTAATAAATATTTAAACAATGCAAGGACCAATATTTACTCAAGGAAGAAAGTTATTGAGCGCAGATAATTAAGTACAGATTAATGGATATGACACTAGATTTGAAGTTAAGATTGTAGTGAATGGGGAAGTATCCACTTGGGAGTCTGTTTCACAAAGCAGCGGTTGTATTACCTGAAATCGAACGAGCAGATTCTTTGCGACTCGGACAGTGTTTCTGACAAGGCATCTCATTAGCAACGACAGTTGACCCAACTAAAAATAATAGTCAACATTTAGCTAATTGCGATGTATATCTATCCCCACCGAAATTTTATTGCCTCCAAAAGGAAACTGCTCTCCTTTATCCACTACAGAGATCTCTTCTTGACTTCTATCAGAATGACTGATTCCTAACTCCTTGAGAGTCAGTTTCTTACCCCTGCTTGGTCTCATGCTCTCCATTGACATGAGGTGGAATATATACATTGAATCAATAGCTTCATCTACCACAAGGAAAGTTGGCTGTCTGTGTCATGCCAGAAAATTTTTCTCGTCTGAGTCCATCCTTCAAATCTATAAATCAATCATCAGTACTTGCACGGAATATTGCAGTCATATATGGTCTGGTGCTCCCGCTGTACATCTTGAGGTCCGTGACAAAATCCAGAGATGAATATGTGATGTGGGGCCAAAGTTGGGACCACAGAAGGAAAACACGGAACACAGATTAGATGTAAGAAAGATATATTAACAACAGGTTACAGAGATAGTGTAAGCGGAGCTTACTATATAACTCAGTATGTCACTCAGTGTGACTCTCTAGAGTGCTATGTCGCCTACTTAATATAGGCCTGGAAGAGTCTATTGTGTAGGTACTTTCCGGTCTCACAATAATATGCAAGATGATAGATCCTGATCTTGCATCTAGTCTACAATCGCTATCCCACAGACGTGCCGTGGCCTACCTCTGTCTCTTCTACAAATATTTTCACGGCAATTGTCCCGACGGGCTACTTTCGTTGGTTTCCGGCCTACATGAATTTAAACGAGCTACCAGGCTGGTATCTCGGTCCCCCACTTTCACTGTCAAAACGGTTATATGTAACCATCTCTTCTTCTCAAACAGCTTCTTCTTACGCACTTCCCGTCTGTAGAACTCCCTTCCCCTTACTTGCTTCCCCGATGACTATAATATTCAAATATTCAAGTCTAATGTCAATCGACATATGACTAGCTGAGCTTTTCCCCCGTCCTTCTCCGTGTCCTTTCCTCAAACACGCCTCTTTACTCTTGTTCTCAATCCTCTGTAACCCCTTACATGCAAGTGACACTCCCACTTTGCTTGGGTTGAATTGCCTTAAAGAAATATTTCTACCGATTACGCACTGCAGATTTCGCATTTAGAAAAAGAATTTGATATATATATATATATATATATTTAAGTAACGAAAATCTTGGTAATCCGTATGGATAATCCCAAGAAGGAAGAAATATGGAGAGCTCAATGTTAAGTCAGAGCGAAAAAATTACTTTAAAGAAAAAACAGACCATTTTAAGGTTCCATTAGTTATAATTTATTTCACCAGAGATTTTATTTTTCCCTGGATCTTCAGACTTCACTTTCAAGGGTGAAAAAATGAATTTACAATTTACACTTTTGAAGGAGAGTATTAAGCTTATATAAGCTTATAAAATCTCTGGTGAAATAAATTATAAACTTAAAGTGGTCTGTTTTTTCTTTTTTTTCCTTTAAATTATGTATATACATATACATATATATATATATATATATATATATATATATATTAAGAGTTTATTCTACAAGGATATGAAAATAATAGCAAGAAAGTGAAAAAAAGAAGGATCATTCCTGCACAACTCTACCCAAGATCTTATGAATATTTTAAATAAAAATAAATATTAAAAATTGAAAAATATTATTGATCCTATAAACAGAGAGTGTTTATAAAGTCTGTGTTTAATTTTGAATGCTTGTAGCTTTGTAATTATACGTGAGAGAAACAATCCGTGAAAAGGATAAGAAAAAAGAAGCAATTAAATGTATTACTAGCATACTTAATTTTCAAAATGTCCGCTATCATGACGCGTACAAAGGATTATACGATTCTGTAATCGTCTGAAAACATTTTGTAGCTTATTTTCAGTAATACCTTCAATCACATCAATTATCCTTGCTGGCAATTCGTCCAATGATCGAGGTTTTCTTATGCATGAATAAACATTACTTTTTACATGTCCCCATAAGAATATCTCCCATTTTGGTGTTTCAAGAAATTGAAAAAAAAAAAAAAATAAAGTAATTTTGAAGTTTTTGTATCATGCATAAAAAATACCATGAAAAAAACGCAAAAATACTCATACTTATAATAGTTTTCCTAAATAAAAAGTTATATAAGCTTGATAATTCTTTAAAAAATACTGCCAAAGATGTATTAATGAAGTATTACACACACACACGGAAACATGCACACACACAGATATATATATATATATATATATGTGTGTGTGTGTGTGTGTGTGTGTGTGTGTGTGTGTGTGTATTTAGGCAGCAATCCTTCTTTCATTCACATTTTATTGAATAAGACAGACAAGGTGCTTTGATTTAGTTTTTTTTATATAATTAATTTCTCATGTGATCTAATTTTCTTTTTCGTTTCAGATGATAAATTATATAAAAACCTCCGAATGTTCTTTTTATCCGAGCGCTTTCGGCTATACATTTACCCATTTTCAAACTTGAAATATTTTAACTGTTAAATAAGAAATAATTTGCTGCATGTATGTATTTATATAATGTTTTCATTTTCAAAATACGGTCAAGATATTGTGTCCATTTTCATAGTTGATATTACTGAGTGTTGTTTATATTTACATATATATACAGTGGGTTCATAAAGTCTCTGTGAAATTTAAAATACATGTAGCTTTGTAACTGCACATGATATAAACAATGTGTAAAATGCATAAGAAAGCCTAAGCATTTAAATTGATTATTTTGATTCATCTTTGCTGTGGCTTGGTATTGAACTCACAACTCTTTGGGTCTACTCATTAGATCTAACGAACGCCTTTATCCACTGGGTCATATGTCCTTGTAGATCAAAACTGGGATAGCTGACTTAAAGGGAAATAACTGAAACACCCAGAAGAGACATGGCACGTGGAAGAAGAACAACCTAGCCTGGTGGACGAAATAAAGGGTTCGTTTCGAAATTAAAATCACCTGAAGGAGGCCAGAACGTACAACGGCCGAAACTTTGTGAATATGGCAATGAAGATGAGGATAACAGTCCGAATAATGTAAATAATGCAAGACACTCAAATGTGTATTAATGAAGTATTACACACACACACACACACACACATATATATATATATGCATATTTATAATTATTTAAAAAAATATGATTTCTTCGCTACATAAAAGTTCTAATGTTTCAAAAACAAAACCCAAAAACCTCAATATAAATCTTGAAATTTAATTGAATTAAAGTATCAAGCCGTGTTTCACACTCAAACGAAAATTTAGAAATAACTAATCTTGAAATTTACGCATCTTTATAAGCATGTTCATTCGTAAAATTAATTACTATAGAAACGGCTATTTCGGTAAGGGGCGTAAGAGTTAACAATTTATATCAGCATATCAGTCACCTCAGAAAAGAGGTCAAGCCGAGGCATGACCGGGGTGTTCATTTCAAAGCGAATGATGGCATTCATATACACACATCGTCTGATGCGTCACAGCGACAGATAGCTGTTGGCACCATCGTACGTCGTTAAGATTTTTTTTTTCTAAAGGGCTATTTCGTACATAAACGCGTCGTACTGAACTATAGTTTTTTTTTGTCGACTTCATAAAGGTTTTTTTTATTTTTATCTTATGACTGGTTTAAGCTTTGAAAACTTTTATTAGACTATGAGATTTAATTTTTTTATGCTAAATATTTAATGCGAAAATTTCTTGATGTCGTCAAAAAACTGTTAACTCATGTCTATGGTTTAATAAATTTTCATTATTTAGAAACTTAATAATGTGTAGTTTTTCATGTAGGCATAAAGGGCATGGGTCATCCCAGGTTTTACAAGTTCTTGTTCTATTTATTATTTTCCATTTTACTTTTGGTTTTTTATTCATTTCTTTTAAATGCCAAAAATATTTGGATAGAGATGTTTGATTTCTATTTCTAATATTATTGAAGGAGCTTTTGTGTTGTCTCCATCTAATTTTAAATTCATTTTTCATGGAACCAATATATATCCTTTCAGTGTTGCGACTCTCAATGGATGAGATAGTGCATTGGTATACCACAGAGTTTGCGCGGCATTTATTTTCCATCGGGCAGTTTCTACAATCACATAATTTTTCATTATTTTGTCTAATTTTGGTTTAGGGTTTTTATTAATACTATTTTGGCATGCGTGTTTTTCCAGGATTTTATTATTATATTTTTTATTATTCTTTCTAGATTTTCAGCGCAACTGTAACTTAATTTTAAGGTGTTTTTATTAAAGATCTTGCTAAGTCTGCTATTAATTGGAAAGTGTTTTTCAATTAAAGCTAGGAACTTATGTCCTTTTCTTCTGGTTAGCACTACTGTTTCTATAATTTATGTTAGCGTTTTTGTATCCGCTATTTTTTAGAGCTGTGTTATAAAAATTACTGTGTTGTTGGATTATTTCTTTATTAGCGGAGTTCATGCTGATTCTTTTCTCTATTGATGTGGGTATATGCTTAATTATAGATGGTGGGTGGTTTGACTTAGTGTGTACGTACAAGCGGTTAGCGTTAAAGAACTCCGGATTATTTACCTAACGTGTTCTTTTCTATTTTTCTATATCTTTGCACACACACACACACACACACACACACACACACACACACATATATATATATATATGTATAATAGCTGGCCACTCGTATTCGATCCGATACACATCTATTAGGGCGGCTAGCCAATCCCCATTGCAGACACTCGCTCAGGCACTTTTGTGTTTGTTCCACAACTACAGAGATCATATGTGGTTTATACTGCAACTATGCTGAGCAGACCTCTGGGAGAGAGCGTGTTGTCTAGCGTGAGCAACAATCCGAACAAAGCCAGCAGACTCGAACCCTCGGGCACGATGACTTGTGTCTTCGTACAAGCACTGCTATCGGTATATATATATATATATATATATATATATATATATATATATATATATGGTGTCCATAAAATTCTTGTGTAATTTAGGATATTGCAGGTTTTAAAAATAGAACAGGCCGAGAAATTTTCAGCACCCCGCCCATGCATTGTCAAGTTTTGTGTCATGCTATTAATGTTTCAGCGATTGAACTGGTATTAAATAAACGATATGTGCAAAAAAATAAATAAGAGGGATGCATGTTCGAACCCAACCGGAAACCATCTTTGTCTCCAATGCGCAGGTAATACACACTGTTTATAATAATAATAATAATAATAATAATAATAATAATAATAATAAAAACGGAGCATTTATTTCAAATACGTGTATTTACTAAAAATAACGTTTGAAGAAATAAAAATATCGGATTATATATACATATTGTCCATAAAGTCCGTCTGCAATTAAATTACTTGTGGCTGTGTAACTATTATTTTTATTTTTATTCGGTCGAGCTAGCAAGAAATAAATAATTTATAAGGCGTGAATGTCTTTATTATTCTGTCGAGATTGCTCGGACATTGATGTGACTATCACGCCAACCATCACATTCCTGCATCAACTTGGAAGATCATTACTTTCGCATTCAGTGTCATATCATAGTTGTTCAATGTGGGCGATGACCAGCCTATCTTACGCCAAGGTTTGGTGTCCGGAGCGGTAGATCACTCACAAGTTCTTGCCTTGCTCTCCAGCAGGGTCCTGAAAAGCGTATTCGGCGTTCACGGAAGATTGTAGAAATATCAGGGATGGGTCCATAGAGCTGTGATCTTGTTGGATGTTGTCTTCAAGAGATGTTAAGTATAACATCTGAATATATGTTCCATCTAAGTTAGAGTTAATGGGTTGGAGTTAATGTCCAGGCAGTAGCGCCATACATTAAAACTCCGCTCGAAAGAATCTCCACTTGAAGTTGCTTGGTCCACCAGATTTACAGGTTTCATTTATTTTTTTCAAGACTGCCTAGGCTTTATCTGTGCGAATTTTCACATGCTTTTCAGTAGAATTTATCTCGTTTCCTAAGTATGTAAAAGATTCGGCAGATTTTATTGATTGCCTTGACAATTTTGCGTTTACACAATTTTGTCCATTTGTTGGATTAAGCTCTGAACCATTGTATCTTAGAAATGATTAAAGATATCTTACTGGAATTCTCCGAGGTTTTTATAATTATTATCATTTATTATGATCTTTTATCATTATTGGACTATTCAACAGAAGACTCGTGATAAAATGGCCCATAAACGAAAATGACATGTCCATAGATAATTAATGATTAAGGATCGGAAGCTCATGAAGGCATGAAATAAAGTTCATATATATATATATATATATATATATATATATATATATATATATATGTATATCATTGATCATTTTCCTTCTCATTCAAGAAGATCTTCGCCCTCTCTAACGTTCTTAATGTCTGTCCTGGACTAACATGATGCCTCACAGGTTTCACGCACGATTTCATTTTCAAGTTTTTTTTTCACTGCTCTTTGCACTGTCAAATCTGAAACTCCTCGCTCACGTGCCAAAATTATTATGGGTTGAGTTGGATCTTTTCTAATTGTTCTCTTTATCTCTAAGTTGAAATGATGATACCTCTTCCTGTTGACGATAACTCTCTTCCTGTTGTTTCCTCTCTACTCTTCCTTCTTTTTAAAAATTATTCACCGTTCTTTTGATGGTTCTTGAATGGACTTTCAAGAGGGTAGCCAGAGTATGAATGTTGCTACCATTACTGATAACTCGAATGATCTTTTTCGTTTCACCATTGCTCATTTCGGAAGATAGTAAGGCTGACAGAACACGATTTTAACCTGTTCCCTTTCTAGCTGAATAACTCAAAGTGTTTTTCAGTTATTCTTACGAAAAATGGTGTCAAGGTGTCTAAATGTCTTGTCTCAAAACCTGGGAAAAAAGTAACGCAATCAGTTTTGTGGTTTGTCAGATATTAAGCATTTTGTGGGTTGGAAAATTATGCTGTTACACGATTTGGACAATTTTGCTGTTACACCCGGTATTCATTGTGGTTATTTAATATATTTTCTTAATATAATTTGCGGGGAAAATTTTGATGACGCCGGGGAAGAATTTTGAAGCCGATCCAAATTTCTTAACTTTTTTTTACATTTAGTTAACATTTTAATTGCCAGCCTCATTGCTAGTTTTAAGGTTCAAAGACATTTATGTGGGGGTCGTTGGAAAAGGTAGAGAAACAAAAAGGGGTCTCTAGTCGAAAAAAGTCTGACGAACAGTGTTAATTTGAAGTAAGGCAACATGTTTTTAGACTTGTATCTTGTCCACCCAAGGGGTTTCGTGGATCTGTGCATCGTTAATAATAATAATAATAATAATAATAAACTATTTCACTGGTGTGGTTGTTGAGTTCATAGATCGTCAGAAGGTATTTCCTTTTTACTGACTATATAATACTTTCAAAAGTTGCAGGGTAGTCGACCAAGAGAGCTGATAACGCAATAATGAAAGAAAGAACAGTCAGTAAATCGGTATATGGTGGCCGTGTAAAAAATACATTCAATAGTAATCATCTGTTTCATCTTCACAGTAAAATGCCAAGGAATGTCAACCTTTCGAACGGTCAGATAATGCAAGCAGAACTTATATGATTCATCCATTTGAGTTGGTGATCACTCACTTTTTCTTTAAAATTTCGTTTTTCGTATATTTTCTTTTCTTTTCTTTCTTTCTTTCTTTCTTTCTTTCTTTCTTTCTTTCTTTCTTTGTGCCTATCTATCTTTTTTCTTAGCTTTTTACTCTTCATCTGATATTTTTAATATCAATCAAGCCACTTCAGTTTTTCATATCTATCTATCTATCTATCTATCTATCTATCTATCTATCTATCTATCTATCTATCCCTCTCTCTCTCTCGCCCCCCCTCTCTCTCTCTCTATCTATCTATCTATCTATCTATCTATCTATCTATCTATCTATCTATCTATCTATCTGTTATCGGAACTTACCCATAATAATAATGGCCTATTCCTGACATTATAAATACTGCGCCTCTCAAGAGGTACGAGGAGATTGTAAGACGAGGAGAGATAATTGAGAGCATATTGTAAGGACATTGGAATAGTGATACTTGTCGAGACAAAATAGTTCACTCTAACCATATCTGATAGTCATTACTAATAATTATACTTCTTTGTATTATATTTCTGTTGTAATATATCTTTGTATTCCATACCTGTGTTCGTGTTATTCTTTCATTGGTTCTAACCTTGGACCATCACCGTGGTACAAAGAATTTGGACCATAACAAGTGGCGACGAGGATGAGATAAAAAAACAACAACAAAAAAAATCGAACCCTCTACGCAGAGGACATATCTTTTTTGCTATCCGTCGCACATAACACTATCTCTCTGTCTCTCTTTCTTTCTATCTATCTATCTATCTATCTATCTATCTATCTATCTATCTATCTATTAGATTATTTCCCAGAACTGTTTCCTTATGGAACGGACTCACGAGGGAATGCTTTTCCGATCACGACAATCTTAACCTCTTCTAGTCAACGGTTAATCGTTTTCTCTCCTACCTGTACCATCTTAAAACAACCTCCTCATAATCTTTTCATATCTATCTATCTATCTATCTATCTATCTATCTATCTATCTATCTATCTATCTGTTTGCCTTGTCTCTCTCTATCTATTATCGTTCTTAGCGTTTGGCTTTTTCTCCCTCTTCTTTTTTATTTCTTTCTTTCATTTTTTTTATTTCCATCTTCTCATATTCTCCTCGCAACCTTTCCATTCCCTTTTACTTATCCTTTTCTCTTCCCAACATATCACATCTTGCGGCTTCATTGCGAAAATTACATTTTCTCCCGTCCTGTCTCTTTCGCGCACGTGCTCTCTCTTTCTCTCTCTCTCTCTCTCTCTCTCACACACACACACAGAGACGCGCGTATATAAGAGGTAAGTAGATTCTAAACATGACACCATTTGATTTATTGAAAGTTCCGTCAGACGAAATGCCTTAATTTCATCGTGCCTGACCTAAATACCAGCCTTCAGATAAACATTCTCTTGAAATTCAAAATAAAATATTAAAAAGATAAAACTTGAAGTAAGTAAAAGAAGAAAAAAATATTCCATCGCCAAAAAAAAATATATGAAAAGTAATGAATTTAAAATAAGTAATGCATAAATTGATAAAAAAAAAGGGAAAAAAAGAAAAAAAAAACTCGATGGGTGTAGAAAGAGCTTACAATATGATAAATGCGAGATTAAAAAATAAAATTAAAATATGTTTTTAGAAAGTAGAGGAGAAACAGATAGTAAAATATATATTCGAAAAAATAATGTATTAAAAAAAAAAGAAATATATTTATTATATATCATATACGTACAAGTTTACAATAATATATATGTGTGTATGTGTGTACATATATATATACATACACACACCTAAATGTACATCGATAACTATGTATATATGTGTATGTATGTTTAGCATGCGTGTGTTTGAAAACGCGTGTGCAAATGTATATGAACACATGTACGAATATGCGTATATATATGAAAAAATATTGTGTAAGGGAAAGTTCTGAAGTAGAAAAAAAAAGATGCGAATGTTTAGGTGGGTTGCTTATATACACACTCTCTCGAGCGACCGACACACGTGTACACACACACACACACACACACACACACACACACACATATATATATATATATATATATAGAGAGAGAGAGAGAGATGTACAATTCCATAGGCATACATAAAGATATAAAGACATATATTTTAAAAATCTGATTAAAAATTATTTTGAAAATGTCAAGGCAATGAATGAACACGAAAATAATTATATATATATATATATATATATATATATATATATATATATATATATATATATATATATATTTATATTTATATATATATATATATATATATATATATATATATATATATATATATATATATATATATATTAACGTGTATGTGCATGGGTGTAGGCAAAAGTATGCAAATATCTTTTTTAAAATATGTGTAAAACACAAGATACATTTTTATTATATTTCCAAATATGTAAATCGAATTTTGAAAAAGAATAAAGAAATAAAAAATTATTCTATTCTTTCTCCTCAGACTAAGAGATAAAATGAAAAAAAATAATTTAAAAAGTTTCAGGAGAAGAAAAGGCTTCTCTATTACGCATGACTCTCAGCCATTTGAAGACAGAAATAGAATTTTCTCCAAAAAAATGTTTTTAAATAGGAAAATATACACGAATTAAAGTTTTTGCTTTCAGAAATAAAATACTGAGCCACTATGTTATTTGTTTCTTTCTATCTATCTATCTATCTATCTATCTATCTATCTATCTTTTCAAGCCGCGGATGTTGCCTGATAAGAGAACATACGAAAAATATTTTTTAATTTATTTCATGTAACACAACACAAGAAGCGAAAAAAAAAAAAAAAACAAAAAAAAAAAATGAAAAAATAATTATTAAATGTTTTTCATACGAAACAGCTGAAAAACGTGAATTTTAAAAATTTCGCGTTTTTTTTTGTAACAATGTTTACTAGGATTTCACAACCTTATACAACATAACAAAATAGAATAAATTAATAAATATAAAGAAAAGGGATAAAAACAAAACAAAAAAATTAGATAAGTAATAGTAAATACATAATGTATTTTTTTTTGGTAATTTTAGCTATATAATTTCTGTAAAAATAGAATCAAAGAGATATTTTCAACTTTGTTTACCACAAATGGCATCTGCTTACCACCAATGACCTCTGGTTACAACCAATGAACACGATGGTTATTATTTCCTATCCCAAACGCTGCGGAAGAGGATAGCAGGTGAGGCGAAAGAGGATAGCGGGTGAGGCGAAAGAGGATAGCAGGTGAGGCGAAAGAGGATATCAGGTGAGGCGAAAGAGGATAGCGGGTGAGGCGAAAGAGGATAGCAGGTGAGGCGAAAGAGGATATCGGGTGAGGCGAAGGAGGATAGCGGGTGAGGCGAAAGAGGATAGCAGGTGAGGCGGAAGAGGATAGCGGGTGAGGCGGAAGAGGATATCAGGTGAGGCGAAAGAGGATAGCGGGTGAAGCGAAAGAGGATAGCAGGTGAGGCGAAAGAGGATATCAGGTGAGGCGAATGAGGATATCAGGTGAAGCGAAAGAGGATAGCGGGTGAGGCGAAAGAGGATATCAGGTGAGGCGAAAGAGGATAGCGGGTGAGGCGGAAGAGGATATCAGGTGAGGCGAAAGAGGATAGCAGGTGAAGCGAAAAAGGATAGCAGCTGAGGCGAAAGAGGATACCATATAGTAGAAAAATATTACATATATCTATATTTATGAGATGAGGTATTATGTGCACTATTTACATTATTCAGACTATTGTCGCCATATTTATTAACAACGTTTCGGCCCTTCAGTATCTGTCTATATTTCTGAGATGAGGTATTATGTACACTATTTATATTATTTGGACTATTGTCCTCATCTTTGTCACCATATTTATTACAACGTTTCAGCCCTTGTACGCTACACCTGAAGAAAGGTGGTTGGAATGTCGAACTGAACCCTTTATTTCACTCACTGGGGTACACTCTTCTAGCTCTACGTGCCATGTCTAATGGATGTCAGTTATCAGTTATCTCCTGTTAATTCTCCTCTCCAAGTTCTCCACTGCCTTAGCCGGGTATTGAACTCACACTCTTTGGGTCTTGTCACTGGATCTAACCAACGCCTTTATCCACTGTGCCATGTGTCCTCAAGTATAAAGGCGTAACTGACATCCATTAAACATGACACGTGGAACTTGAACAGTTGTAATTCAGAGGGAAATTAACAAATCCATCAATCAATCTTTAAAGCTTCCTCGTTGCTCACATGATCCGCCCATGGTATTCTCAGTATCCTCCCGTAGTACGATATATCAGTTGCCTCAAGTCTGTGAGAAAATTGTCCAAAATGTATAGCAATGTAATAGCTGGCCACTCGTATGCGAGGATACCCGTCTACTAGGGCAGCTAGCCAATCCCTATTGCAGACTCTTGCTCAGGGACATTTGTGTTTGTTCAACACCCACAAAGTCAACCTGTGGTTTATACTGCAACTCTGTTGAGCAGAACTTAGTTACAGTTTTTGGGAGAGAGTGTGTTAGCTAAAATGATCAACAATCTGAACAACACCAGCACACTCAAACCCTCGGTCACGATGACTTGTGACTTTGCGCTAACAAAGCTATCGACAGCCCCATCTTCCATCTACCCAATTTCACTCACAAGGCTTGGGTCAACCCGTGGTATGTTTTTCAGCCAGTTTCCAAAGGTGCCTACCCCCCAGGAGAATTTATATAACATTGCATTTCAGCACTGGTTGATTTGTTACGAAATTTTCATGTTTCTTAATACTTTGTTTAGTTTTGGAAGGTATGTTTCGTTATTACAATGGGCACTTCGGATTTCAGTGTCACATATTCCGCCGCCTGTTAAACTTCTTCTTAGATAATTAAATTTCTGTACTTTTTTAAAAAAAAATTGTAACGCCTTACGTTTATATCCCACTAGCAGCATGGTCCGGCGTTGCCCGTGCGTGATTCAAAAATCGTACGACTCATACAGCAATCGCTATCACTTGACTTAAAATATTTTTGCCCTTCCTTGCCTTTAAAGGAGTGCCCTTTGCCATGCTGGTATTGCTACATGCCTTACTTCTTGCCTATATCACACTTCGAATTTTTTCTGAGCTCTATACTAAACATTAAATCTGTTACAAAAAAAGAACTAAACAAAATGAACACAAAACGATCAGCTTAACTCGTAACTGGAAAAACCGAATGAAAAAAGAATGTTAACAACACATACTTTATCACACCCAACCCAGTTCTGCGGAATCAGAATCAACGTTGAGTTTAAGCAAGCGAATGAGCCAATTGGAGTAAAGTGCCATGCAGATTTAAATTTTGTCCCACTTGTGACGAATGCAGCTATCGATATTTTTTGCATGCTAGCATGCTAGTTAACATTCGTGTCAGTCAGCTGTTGGCTCTCACGCTGGCCAATAGAATCTTACTGCCTATTCGTGGCAGCCATCTATATGATCTCACTTTGGCCAGTAGAAAATGGCCGCAAACGACATGAAAACTGCCGTAAAAGCATGAAAAAATCGATTATTTCCACTATCGATGGGAGTTGGGAAATGCAAAGTTGGTGTTGGCCTTCCCGCTAACTTGAACATGTGCAAGTACATTTTGGTGCAAATCCGTCGAAAATTGCGGCCGTGCATTCGTTACACACACACACACACACACACACACACACATCCTGCCTTTTATAGATAGAGATATACCTGTGCTGTCCATTATTTATACTAACACTAATACATGCCGTCTTGTTCTTGCACTTTTCCTTTTGTTTACTTTGTCTCATATTTCCTTCCGTTTCCCTTCTAAATACAGACATAGGTTAAGCCCAATGAGAATAATTCCTGGGAGGTTCTCATGTCTTTTAGACTCTCCCCGAGTGTTCCTCGGGCATTATGATGTATTTAGTGGAATTTGCATATTTGCAATCCATCTCTTTATGGTAACATTCTAGAGGCTCTAATCAACTCTGAATCGGTTAAGCATCTCACCACACAGAGTCTTCTTTCAGATATGCAACATAGCTTTCGCTTCACTAGGCCAACTGCTGATGTATTATTACTGAGAAAACCTATCAAGCTTTCCATAAGAATGCTGAAATTCGAATTGTTACCTTGAATATCTCGAAGGCATTTGACAGGGTTTGGTATATTGGTCATCTTCACGAGTTGACTTTGTTATCCTATTTCTGGACGATTTTTTTTAACTGTTTCGTGAAATAAAAGTTGTCTTGAATGGCCACTTTTCTAGATCATTTTACATTAACACAAGCGCTCCCAGGGTTCTATCCTTGGATCTACGACCATTCTGATGACATCAGATCTCAAGTCAGTATCTATGCTGATAGCACAACTATTTATTCCTTCCTTATAAATAAGTCCGATCGGTGCGATAAGGTCAACTTATCAGCTGATCACAAACGATTTACTTTCTGTTGTTAACTGGGGCAATGAACGTCTTGTTAATTTTAACGCCTTCAAAAGGAAACTGCAAAGTTGCTTTCCTGTTTCTTGCTAAACAATTCTTCTCTCCAGAATCTGTCTTACATATTTATAAGTCTACCATTCGTCCTTGCTTTGAATACTGTTGGTCTGGTGCTTCTGCTATATATTTAGAGTTGAAATGATGATCCCACTTCCGGTTGTGATCTGCTATTCCAGTTTCCCACTCTACTGTTCCCTCTTTTAAACTTATCTTGATGGTTATTGAATGGGTTTGGCAGATAGAAGCCAGGGTATGAATGCTGGTACCATTACTGAAGGCCTGAATGATCTTTTTCTTCTCACCATTGATCAATTGGCAAGACAGTGGGTCTGACACAAAACGATTATAACCTTTAGAAGAATTTGCAATGTTATTGGTCATGACCTGGCATCTTGCCTCCAGTCCCTTTCTCACCGCCGTAATGTATCTTCCTTGTGCCTTTCTAAAAATAATTTCATGGTAGTTATTCTGATGAAATTTCCTCTGTGGTACATATGCTTTATGAATTTACGTGTAGTCGTAGATTGGTTGAGGAATCGGAGAGCCGAGTTCGAATTCCAGTCGACTCCATTATATTCACTTACGTACTAATACGTAAAAATTATGAATCCTCTTCAAAGCTATAGGTAAATAGCAGGACGAACCGGATTCTTTAGCCTTGGATGGCAACTGGTCTACCGCAGAAAGAAATGACAACTTACTACGGGAAAAAATCTGCGGTAGTCATGTATCGAAAGATACATAACCGCCTACGCGTGTATTAATCATGGCACATAACTGACTGAGTAGATTGGTGGCAAGGTCTCATCATTTTACAGTGGAAATGGCTAGATGTAACCGCAAGTTCTATGCAGAGAGTTTCTTCTATCAAGCTTCTCGCTTATGGAACTTGCTCCTTGCTTCCCAGGCAACGTTGATTTTCAAAGATAAAAAGGAAATGTCAATTGCTATCTAATTTCTTATTAATTCTTGTTCTTTTAAAGTTCTCTTTCATTAATAATGTTTTTTCTCATATTCTCTAACACTCACCTTGATATTAGTGGCTTTATTGCCTTACCTGGGTTGAAATGATATATAAAAAAATCCAGCTTCAACTTGCTAGCATACTTCACTCTCGCTCCAAAAATAACAACAACAACAACAACAATAATAATAATAGTAACAACAATAATAATAATAATAATAATAATAAAATATCCGGCAAGAAAATAACTTGTCTTACTCTGCAAGCTCGGGTGCTTGCGTACGCGCGTGTACACGCGCATGCGCACACATACCTAAACATAAATCGACCTATATATACGCCT